GTATGCGAGCAACATGCGGCAATTCGCATACCCCCTCGCATAACTGAAAGATGAAAGAAATAAAAAATAAAGTAATGAGTAGAAGTGCGAAAGGGGGTAGTATGCGAGCAATATGCTGCAATTCGCATACCCCCTTCGCATAACTGAAAGATGAAAGAAATAAAAAATAACTTTGGAACAGAAGTGCGAAGAGGGTATGCGATTTATCATACCCCCTTCACATACCCTAAACCCTAAACCCTAAACTCTAAACTCTAAACCAATATTATATCTTATGATATAATGTAATTTATTCTTTAAATTACCGTTCAAAATATATAAATGAACATTGTTATAATTTTTAATAAGTGGCTTTCTTCTATTGTCAATCAATTTCACAATAAACCATATTTATCTATATACCTTATCTTAACTCACTTTCAAACATTTTATCCAAGATTGAGCTTAAACATTATTATATTTTTTTTAATAAGTGGCTTTCTTCTATTGTCAATGAATTTCACAATAAACCATATTTATCTATATACCTTAACTTAACTTACTTTCAAACATTTTATCTAAGATTGAGCTTGAACATTATTATATTTTTTTTAATAAGTGGCTTTCTTCTATTGTCAAGTCAATTTCACAATAAACCATATTTATCTATATACCTTATCTTAACTCACTTTCAAACATTTTATCTTCTATTAGTAATTCATTGGGCGGGATTTTTTCCCTCCATAATTTCAGGTATGCGAATGATATGCGATATATCGCACATTGTTCGCCGTGCTGCGAATAAAGGTTGACAGGTTGCGTCTTTGACACTCTCAATTAAATGACAGACTTCGGTGCATTAAAAATAATTTTTTTCTGTTACGCAGTATATGTTTTTAAACAGATATGCGAAACAGAGTGCAATTTACTGTCAAAACGTTATGCGACTGAAATGCGATTTTGAAGAGTCGCTCCGAAACGTCCCCTCAGTCTTTGGCAAATTAATAACGGCGCGCGTATCAAGGAGGATAGATATCTTCTTTAACCAGATATGCGAAATCATTTATTGTAAATACGTTATGCGAATGAAGTGCGATTCATCGCATTTTGTTTGCAGTGCTGCGAATTTGAAGAGTCGCTTCGAAACGTCCCCTCAAGTCTTTGGCAAATTAATAACGGCGTGCGTATCAAGGAGGATAGATATCTTCTTGATTAACCAGATATATGCAAAATCATTTATTGCCATAAAGTTATGCGAATGAAGTGCGATTCATTGCATTTTGTTCGCAGTGCTTCGAATTTGAAGAGTCGCTCCGAAACGTCCCCTCAAATCTTTGGAAAACTAATAACGGCGTGCTTATCAAGGAGGATAGTTATCTTCTTTAACCAGATATATGCGAAATCATTTATTCATATAGTTATGCGAATGAATTGCGATTCATCGCATTTTCTTCGCAGTTCTGCGAATTTGAAAAGTCGCCTCTTCTCCGAAACGTCCCCTCAGTTTTCGGCAAATTAATAACGGCGCGCGTATCAAAGAGGATAGATATCTTCTTCAGTCCTCTATAAAAGGCAGCTGAGATGAGACAATTGAATTAGGATCAGGACCCATCTCCCAAGTCTATAACTCTCGATTTTCCTCAACATGCCGGTCAATGTAGTCTTCATTGACGGCATATTGAGGAAAATCGAAGGTTGAATAATTGAGAGATGGGTCCTGATCCTCCTGTTGTCTTTGAGGGCGTGCTCTCTTTCACCGTCGTAGCCTCCTCAATCTAATATACCTCGGAAGTCCAAGCACTCGCCCTGGAGATCCCACGTCAGCCCAGGCACATGGTCACCTCTCATTGAAAGCTAAAAAAATAGGAAACTGATGAAAAAGCTGTTGGAGACCATGTGTTTGGGAAGACGTGGAATCTCCGACGAATTGCTTGGTCTTTCGGGGTTTACTAGATTGAGGCGCCTACGACGGTGAGGGAGCACGCCTTCAAAGACAAAGGTTCTTGTTCTTCTGGGGTATAATACTTTTTTTATCGGAAGTCAGACCATTGATATAAATCCCGTTTTCAATTTTCTTCAACTGGTGTACAAAATTCACTGGCAAAGACAGATGTGAAAATGGAGATTCAAAGTCAAACAAGGGATGGCAATTAATTTCGTTCGACTCACAGACCTATCCCTTCTAACAAACAATGGCGAGAAGACCCCGTACCTCCTCTGCAACAGACTCCGCTGCCCAATTGGTTCGAGAGGTAGACTGCGGTATGAGGAAACGGTGAACGTAGTACCGGGGTTTAAGTAGTACCTCATATATTGGAGGGCTTAAAGTTTCAAAGCATACCGGACAATCTAGAACTTCTGGCTCGGTTATGGTCACTGAAACTTGTTACTGAACGTAGCACGGGGTAAAATAGTAGTTGAGTTGATGTAAAGTAGTTGATTCGATGTAAAAGTGCGACATGCATACGTCGCATATCATTCGCCTAATTGGTGCATAATTTATATTATAAAAGTTTTTTCGATGTAAAGTAGTTGAGTCGATGTAAAATTGCGACATACATACGTCGCATATTATTTGCAGAATTGGTACATAATTAATTATAATATTTATTTTCTGGAAAGTTCTTTGTCTGTGAATTAAATATAAATTTAAGACTACGTCGCATATCATTCGCAGAATTGTTGCATAATTAATTATAATATTTATTTATTTTTTGAAAAGTTCTTTGTCTGTAAATTAAATATAAATTTAAGACTACGTCGCATATCATTCGTAGAATTGGTGCATAATTAATTATAATATTTATTTTTGGAAAAGTTCTGTCTGTGAAATAAATATAACTTTAAGACTACGTCGCATATCATTCGCAGAATTGGTGCATAATTAATTATTATATTTATTTTTTGGAATGTTTTTTGTCTGTGAATTAAATATAAATTTAAGACTACGTCGCATATCATTCGCAGAATTGGCTCATAATTAATTATAATATTTATTTTTTGGAAATTTCTGTCTGTGAATTAAATATAAATTGAAGAATACTATTAGATGAATGAACCTGCGATTATTACTTCGAAACAATTCCGCATAAAAACTTCATAACACTCGTACTATAACGAATAAAATTTAATTTTTTATGTTTTTGTAAATTTTCTATTCGGCGACGTACAAAATTGTGACATACGAACGTCGCATATTAGTGCCCGAGTTGGTAAATAGTTAAAAGTTTTTGAAAAGTTTTTGGTCTGTGACTAAATTATTAATAAATTGAAGACTACTACTATTAGGTCAATGAACCTGCAATTATTACTCGAAACAATTCCGCATAAAAACCGCATAACACTATTACAATAACGACTAACATATATTTTTTTATTTTTGTTTTTGTAAATTTTCTATTCTGCGACATACAAATGTCGTATATTTTTGGAGAGTTGTAAATAAGAATTTTTGGAAAATTCTTGTTCTTTGACTAAATTAATAAATTAAAAAAAAAACTATTAGGTGAAAAAAAAGCGGTGCGTAACACTATTCGAAATGTGTTCGCATATTGATACATTTATGCGAGTTTTATATGGATATGCGATTCGTAACTATGCGAAAACATAACGCATAAGTGATAGTTATCTAAGCCTTTGGATATGCGAATCGTAAATTATGCGAACATATGCCGAATAGTCGCATACTCATAAATGATGCAGTTTGGATATGCGATAATCTAATTACGCGACAGTTTTCCACATATCCTAAATGATGATGCAGTTGATATGGCCTGGATATGCGATTAAAAAATATAAATTACTTTAATTTATTTTTTTTCACTACATTATGCGAGAACAATGCGATCATCGCACTTTGTTCACAGTTCTGCGAATTTCCTTTCAATAATATTTTCCCTTCGAATATTGTCGCTGATTTTGCTGGGAAAACTCTGTTCACGTGTTGGGTTCTGTTAGGAACGTCAAACAACATGCACAGTATTGAACTTTATC